TGCTGAGCACCCATTCCACCCTGGTCTATGCCTATGCAATAGCTCACTAACTCTTTCAGTTTTGCTGGAGTTGTACCCATATGGTTTGTAATTGTACCTTTGCTTTTGAGTAATAAGTGACACATGGCTTCTTTGGCAGCTCAAGGCTTGAGTTTTCGTCTTGACACCCTTGGGCATCTGGCTGATGACAGATGATAGATTTAGACAAACAGTAAAAGCTACAGAGTGCCTTGCATGTATGTTTATCTTAACTTTGTAACACAGTCCAAATGTTATTTAACTTTATGTATTTAAGGGAGACCAATTGAGAATGGCATTCACATACAGTAGGACAGCCAATGCTGTTGCTCTAATTACTTGCTTGGTATAGTTACTAGCAAGTTTATAATTTCCTGAGCATGACTAAGTCTATTGAATTAAAGCAGGGTGTTTGGAAATAGGGAGAAAGAGGAAACCAAATAGTAATTTAACAATAAGCAGTAAATGTAAACCAGAAGTTGCTTACTTGACACATTATTTTGGTTAGGCTGAATATAGTTTAGATGTTTGCTTATTTACTTTTTTAAGATTGCCATTTGCTTTGCTAAGTAGCGTCTAAGAACAAGATCTTTAGCGTATTTTCTGGACTGAAGGTAATGCTGTTTTTTTCTACGAAATTCGAGGTTGGTAAATGTGCAGTGTTGCAATGTATTAGGGGAATGGGAATTCTTTCTTTGTATGTATTAGAAAATGCTCTTTTCCATTAGTTAGTGCACCTGGTCTTTATTTTTTTAATTACAATAACAGAGATGTCGATACTTTACATATTTGCAGGAGATATTATTTTTAAAGAAATATTTGTTTATTATTTCCTTACAAAAATCTTAAAATGGAAAGGTAGATTTGAGTGCAGATGGCTGTGATTTTTGAAACTCTGTAATTACTATTAAAATATAAATTGGTGTTTATTTTTTTTAATACTGCATTGCAGAATTTCTAGCATCCATTAGCGTGTTTTCATCGGGACTACACTTTGTGCCCTAAAATGTATTCACATATCTGTTTCTGCAGCTCATTTTTCATTATTAGTACAGCAGCGTACGTATGCATCTATAAGAAATATAGACACATTTTCTGTTCAGAGAAGCTAATAATTCAAGGGTTACTCCTGCAGAATTTACCCATAGTGCAGTCCTACCCTGCTGTGAAAAGGTTTTCATTACATGAGTGGGACGAATCGTGTTATATTGCTGTTTGCAGACAAAACCAGCTGATGAGGACAGCAGAAAAATGGCAGAGGGACTGTTATTGATAGGATATTTTGCCATATGCATATATTTTTGATAAATCTGTTTTGCAAAACTTTTTTTGGAAGATAGACTTCGACAAAGTAGTAAAATAGTTAGATTCCATTTTTTTCCTCCTTGGATCATTGGTTTGATTACCCTGAATTCTCATTTCTTCTCTCTTCATTGTAATGGTGGTTTAGTCCTAATTTCTCATGGAGTATTGATTTGGCCCAGTATAGTTACATAATACTCTGCTTTCAAGAAATGCATGTAAAGAAGAAGAATGTAAAATTCTTCAGATAGCACATACTTGTGAAAATTCATTAAAGAAAGGGTTTGATGGAATATTTTGACATGTTCTGAAGGTAACAGTGTGACTGTATGATATGCTTTTTTTCTGTGTAAGCAAGCTGCCTATGCATACATTAACGTTGTTGTTGTGTGTCTGTGTATATGTAGGAGTGAAGTTGCTTTTTAAGGGCAACATAACACCAGACATGAATGTGTACATGACTCTGAAACATATGTCAGAATTGATGGACAAGCCAAAAATTACCATTGAAGAGATGAAAGATGAAAGCAAATAATAGAATACTGCTGGGAACCATGACCTAATATACAAGAGATGATGGAGTGAAACCAAAACAAAACAAGTGCAAATCAAGCAAGAGCACATAAAAAAGTAGAGAGCCAACATATCTTTGGCATAATCCTCCATCTCATTCCTCACTTACAATTAGGGCCATAATTTCTGGTTCTACTGCTGCAGTAGTAAATTGGTGAATATGCTTGAAATAATCTCTCCATTTTGTCTGTCTCATCAGATGTTTTCAGAATGGAGGGCTGAGAGGTCAAGATCATAGTATGAGAGAGAAATGGTTCATACAGCAGTTTCAATCCCATGAAGTTGCAAAACGCATCCATCTGACTTTGGGATGCTCTGAATCAGGCCCTGCTGGCTGAGACATGCAGGCAGAACAAGAACCCCCAAATAGAAAGGGGATTTTGATTTAGTGAGAGTTCAAAATGTGATGTAGAAGAGCTGTAACACTTCAGAAAGGTTGTCTTTAAAATGAGAAAAAATGTTCCTATTTTGTGTCTTTTCGTTAGTGTAGTTGCTGAGATCAACTAAAGTGAAAGAAGTTGAAATACAGTTCCTGGCTGGTCAGACTGACCTCGGAAAATGTGGATTTTATAATACGTTGAACTTGGCACCCTGCAATTTTTTTTCTCTGCTTGAAATGTTTTTTTAATGAAAAGCTGCATTTTAGAGGCATAACCTTATGTAAACACTAGTCAGGAAAATTTGATATTTAACTTATTTTTCTAGAAAGAATAGTCTCTCCAGGTAGTAGACTTTTATTAAACTCACAGAATGGAATCCATCAATGTTTGAGAACTCAGCTCTGGACTGTGAACTGTGAGAGCTTTTTGTCTTAATGCTGATGTAGATTCAATTATACTCAGCACAAAAAACTCTGGTGAAACCCCTTTGAGCCTCTGGATTAAATGAGTCCTTGAATTGCTGATTGTTTAAGGTTGACCTGGCCCAAAGAGTGGTGGTCACTGGGGTTAAATCCAGGTGGCAGCCAGTCAAGTGGTGTTCCTTGGGGCTTGGTGTTAGGACCATTTCTGTTTAACATCTTTATTGATGATCTTGATAACAACATAGACTGTATCATCAGTAAGTTCACAGAAGACACTAAGTTAGGTGGGAGTGTTGATCTGTATGAGCTTCAACAAGGCCAAGTGCCAGGTCCTGCACTTGGGCCCCAGCAGCCCCATGCAATGCTACAGGCTTGAGGAAGTGTGGCTGGAAAGCTGTCTGGCAGAAAGCGACCTGGGGGTTCCAATTAACAAGCAGCTGAATATGAGCCAGCAGTGTGCCCAGGTGGCCAAGAAGGCCAATGGCATCCTGGCTTGTATTAGAAATAGTGTGACCAGCAGGAGTAGGGAGGTGATTTTCACCCTGTATGTGGCACTGGTGAGGCTGCACCTTGAGTATTTTGTCCAGTTTTGGGCACCTCAATACAAGAGAGATATCGGGGCGCTGGAGTGAGTGCAGAGGAGGGCAATGAAGCTGGTGAAGACCTGGAGAATAGATCTTATGAATAATGATTGAAGGAGCTCAGACTGTTTAGTTTGAAGAAGTGGAGGCTAATGGGAGACCTCAACATTTTCTACACCTACCTAAAAGGACGTTGTAGAGATGTTGGTACTGATTTCTTCTTAAGGTAAGTAGCAATAGAACAAGAGGGAATGACTTCAGGCTGCAACAGGATAGGTTTAGATTGGATATTAGGAAAATTTTTTCCCCAGAAAAAGAAGTCAGACATTGGAACTGGCTGCCCAGGGACGTGGTTGAGTCGCCATCCCTGGATATGCTTAAAGGTTGTTTAGATGTGGTGTTGGAGGATATGGTTTTGGAGGTGAACTTTGTAGAGTTAATGGTTGACCTCAATGATCCCAAGGGTCTTTTCCAACCTGAATGATTCTGTGATTCTGTGATTCTATAACAGCTGTCTTTATGGTTTTTTGGTATAGAGTTGCACTCTGTCTAGGAAGAAAACACCACACAAACTCCCATCATGGTCAAGCAATTAATTTATGCACAAAACTACAGGTTTTGTACCCAAAAAGGTAGATATTACAATGAGCTTGAAGCAAATGAGGTATAAATGAGACTGTTAGCATAATTGTAACTGACATGGATGTCCTATGGTAGGAGAGAATGTCATGTATGAAAAGGTGATACCTTAGCTTAATCAAAAGTAAATATAGTCCTTTGGTGAAGCTCTCTACCTGAATGGTAACATGTTTCAAGATAGTGAATGCTGATAGTTAGAATCATAGAATCATAGACTTGTTTTGGTTAGAAAAGACCTTAAAGATCATCAAATCCAATCATTGTCTAACTCCACCAGGTACACTTCTAAATCATGTCCCTGAGCATCATATCCCGATGGTCCTTAAACACACTCAAGAATGGTGAGTCAACCACTTCCCTGGGCAGCCTGTTTCAGTTTTTGAGAATCCTTTTGGTGTAGAATTTTTTCCTAATATCTAACCTAAACCTTCCCTGGCATAATTTGAGGCAATTTTCTTTAATTCTATCAATTGTAACTTGTGAGAGTAGACTGACACCCACCTCTCTACAACCTCCTGTTGTAGGGAGTGATAAGGTCTGTCTTCAGCCTCCTTTTCTTCAGACTTGAAAACCACAGTTTCCTCAACCACTCCTTTTAAATTAATGCCGATCATACAGTTGCATGATTCTGAGTATCATGCACTGGGATGAAATATGTAAGTATAAATAAGGAAAAGCCCAATTATCTATATAGCAGTAATTCTCAATTCCCATATATCAGCATTACAGGTTACTGATCATCTTCATTTTTCATATCAAGAGTTTAAGAGTACTAGCACCACCAAGAGTGTTTTGATTCTTTTGGATACTGTAAAACTTCGGTATATTAAGAAAATGTCAAGGTGGCATTACCTATTTATTGTTTCTAAAGCTGTGTTCATACTACCCATTTTCTAAATTTTTCTGATGTCTGATTCTGAACTCCACTAAATCTTGTTTTCATTTCAGATTCTTCTGAATGAGCTAGTTGTGTTTTTTTTAATTCCTCTTAGCAGATGACTTTGTTAAGGAAAAACCTGTTTAGTATACAAGTGAGGGGGAAAAGAAAAATTATTAACCAAAACTTTTGTGCTGTTTCCAAACAGGGACGAAGAGGTTTAGGTTCAGTCTTTGTTTGGGCCTCTGGAAATGGGGGAAGAAGTCGAGACCACTGTTCCTGTGATGGCTACACCAACAGCATCTACACTATCTCCATAAGCAGCACGGCTGAAAGTGGGAAGAAGCCGTGGTATCTGGAAGAATGTGCATCTACACTAGCTACCACATACAGCAGTGGAGAATCCTACGACAGGAAAATAGTACGTTTTTAAATTATTTTTTTATGTATATGGTTTTTTAATGTATATGTTTTGCATAGTGACTGCAGGGAGGGAGAGAGAACTCATGTTTACTGATTAAAGGACTGCTTCAGAAAAAAGTCATACTTGAGCAAGTTCATATATGCCCAGTGTGTTACTCAGTTGGAGCTGCCGTACTGCTCTTTGAAACCAGCATGGGTATCCATGTTGCAGCCTAATGCAGTACAGGTACACGCAGTTTGTAGCAGTTTTTTCCACTCACCTAGTTGCTGCTAACTCTGAGTGATTCTTTCAAAGATCTTATTGCCACTGCCACCAGAACAGAATTCTTTCATTACGAATATCTTGTAGCCCATTAATAGGCCTGAAAGCCCATCAATAGGCCTCCTTGTGTTTTTAATCTAGTTATCAATAGTTTTCGTATTTTACACACATGATATCAGCAGTTTTCCTACATACTTCTCTATTTTATTTTGACCCTCGTTTATGTTCAATGATAGTCAGTTATTACTCATATTGCTGCTTGTTCCAGCCAGCTGATATATTGTAAGCAAGATTAAGCTCAGTGCTCATCTTTCCTGTTTTGTTCCTCATCTCATTCCAAAACACCCAGCACTCATTTTCCGTTATGTTCTGATCTTGGCTGGAAACCCAACTAATTGTTTTAATTCTATTTGATAATCTATTGATACCAGTAGTATTTCTTTGCTATATCTGCTTTATTAAACTGAGCACATTCAATATACTTTCCAATATTCAATATTCTACTCTTTTAACCTTTTAAACCCTTATACTAAGATTAATCAGATTTACTAATATTGTCCTCTTCCCTGCTGATTTATTCTAGTGTATAACTTAAACATCTTAATCTCTTCCTGATCAGAAAATTTAGAGATTTTGTTTGTGTTTTTCCTCCAGGTGTTTTCTTAAGCAAACCTCTAACACTACCTTCTTTCTGGTCCTTAACAGATACCTCTCTTGCTATCAATGAGAAGTTAAAAATTCTTACAGCCATGGGTTTTTTTAATACCGTCTGCCTTGTCTTTCAGGATTCTGGGATGCTGGCCATCCCTTCTTGGATCCTTACTTATTTTCAGATGATCTAATTTTTGTTTTAAATTTGTCCTGAGGTACTTCTTCATTACAGTAATTTTTCTGTTCTTAACTTCTCTGCACTGAAACATTATCTCTCTTCTTGGCATGTTTCTTGTTCTCTCTGATAAACAATAAGAAAGAAAAGAAATTAGTCATCTTCAAGCAGTCCTCACTTCTGTGATTAAATTCCCTCTACTGACCTTTAAAAGACCGTCGCTTACTTGTTCATGTTTAAGTCAAACTAGTACACTGTAAGGTGAACAGAGGTAATAGTCGTTCCCCAGCCTGAGCTCTTGGCTAGCTGAGTCTGCAGGACTTCCCTGTGTCCTTCAAATCCAGCACTTGCTGTCAACTTGACAATATCTTTTACAAATACAATCAATCTTGCTTTCAAAGTTCCCAGTGAAAGAAAATCCCCTTAAATTTAGGTGAAGTTTTAATTACCCGTTGCCATTAAAAATATTCTCCTGTTTGCTGTCTGAGCTCCTCTAGCTTCAATTCTAGGTATTTGGTTGTGTCACAAATTTTATTGCGACCAGGAAGAGCACTCCTGTTGTCTACCTTCTTTCTCTCTACTCATGTAGCCTAAGCAGTTAATCCTTTTTTATAAATGAAGGTAAGCTTCTTGCATCATCCTGTGTAAGGCATGCTTTCTCATAAACCCACTCTACTTTATGAGCTTTGGGAACCCAAGCTGAACACACTAGCCAACTAATAGCCATATTATCACCAAATGCACAGGAAAATGTGTATCTTTGAGTGCCTGCTCAGTTCCCGTCTCTTTACAGAAGAAGCCTGACTAGGAATTCTTAGCTTTGCTGCCATGTAAGGCATTTGTTGTTGTGTGATGCTCAACCTGCTTTCAAAACTGTTGCCTCTCTTTTTCAGAGTTGGTGGTCCAAGGATAGGTGCAAGAGTCTCTTTATTGCACCATTTACCACTGGCTCTACTGGTTGCATATTCAGTCCAGACCAGCCCTCACCGTCACTTTCTCTAATGTTTCTCCAAGTGCAACATTCATCAGAAGGTGCTGGTGTTTTCTTCCAGGTCTTTGATAACAGCTTTAGGTCTAAGCTAAGGCCAGGAAGCAAATTGTAGAAGGCCTGATTAGAAACAAGGCTGACTAGAAATGCATATATGGGCTCTAAACATATATATAATTTCTCTGCTTCTAAGTATATACCTAATTTCTTCTATATGCTTACATTTTGAGACCTTGTCCTTTAGATCTATCCTTTAGATTATATAGTATTATTTTTAATGTGCAATGTCACATTATGAGTCTCATAGAATCCTGAGTATACTACTTACAACCAAAGTGGTAGGCAGAAAAATAATACCACAGGACATTGGCAAGCTCTCTTTTCCAGCAGCTTATGTTGTCCACCATTAAATATACTGCTTGTTAATTATTTTTTTTAATAATTAGCTTAAATCCTGTATCAGCTGCTTTACACTAAGCAAAAACTTGGCAAATAGATGAAATTGTAAGGACAATGCTACTTACCCTGTCAAAATATTGACACTCTATGGATTTTCTTTCCATCTTCTGGAAATTCTCCAGTGTTTGAAGACTTGTTAAAGTCAAGAGTACAGTCTGATATATTCCTTTTCCAGCTCTTGTAAAGGTCTTTGGTGCTTCTAAGCTTTCTGATTTAAACTTGCTGTTTAGAAAAGCTGTAAATAGAAAGATGATTTATCATTTTATATGCTCTGAAAATATCATTTAGTTTTTTTTTTTCAAAAAAGGAACATGCAGTGAAATAGCCAGTACACTACCATTAACTATTCTGTTATTTACTGACAATTAAAATAATACTGGTTTGGTAGTTCTTTTGCTTTTCAAATAGTTGAAAATATACATACTTCATTCTGTTCTTGTAGGCTTCATCATTTGTTGTTTGGCTTTCTTTACCACCTCTGTGCACCTTCTGTCTTCTAGTTTTTGTTCATTGCTACCCACTTGCCTTTTATTCACTTATATTTATTTGTCTATTACTTCTTGCCCAATACTTATTATGTTCACCAGGATATCCTTGCTTACTTTTTAAAAATCTAGTAAAATATATGTATGTTTCTCAGTCCTTATTTGTAGTTTTCTACTTTCTGATTTAATCATTGTGCATACCTCTGTTTTTTAATAACTGTAGTTTTCTTGATGATTGTCTTCAATTCTTTTCAATTAGTATGGACTTCCTGCTTTTGCGGAATTACTGCTTCAGTAAGAGTTCATTGTTTATATCTGACATGCCAATCCCTTATGACTTATGCTAGCATGAAAAAGACCTGGAGGTGATTTATTTTTAAAGACTTTCTCATGAAACAGCACACTAAATATTTTTTTCATTTACTGAAATATAGCACCCGTCACTACTAGCATTGATACACTGTGCTAGTGCTTGCAGTTTAGTATTTTTTGTTAAGAGTTTTAAAAGATATACTTTACAAATGAGAGATTAATTACTATATATAGATTGAATATACATTATGCCATATATAGAGAAATAAGATATTTTACATTAACATTACTGTAAAGATTTTAAGATATACCTCTTTGAAAGTGTCCTTAATGTGGAGTCTTCACTGGAGATCTTATACAGTCTACTAGAGATAAGTAAAAATAACTTTTAATTGAAATTCATCAATCCTGTGAACACTGATGGCTTTTACTAATCAGATCCTCCATTCTTTTGAGGGCAATCCAGTTGCATATGCCAATTTTGATTATTGCTACAGAACTCATCATTTTGCAGAGTGGATGATGAAGGTATCAGGTACTGAGGACCCATAGGTATTAACCTCAGTCTGATGACCCTTAATTTGCGCAGAACTTAATTTGCACTTGCCTACTCATGTGCAAAGCAACTTTGCTGTTGCAGGTGCCATAAGATTCACTGATCTCAAATGCTTGAGTATGAGACCACACATGTTCCCTCTAAGTCTCTTCTTTCCTATGCTATTTTATCAGTTGACTTTTGAAACATACAACCCATCTGAAGATGTTCCACTACTGGTACTTGGCATTTAAAGCCAGGCAAGCCTCTTCCCCCTCCAGACACCTTCAGTGACAAAGCAGAGTGCTCTATGGTAGATGTAGTCAACAGATTTCTGTTTGTGTTGTTTAAACCAGTTATGCCCATAAGGGATAACAACTGCATGGTTCCATTGTGCTACAGCTTGGTGAAAAATGACAAGGGATTGTGAAGCCGGCTTTTCAAACTGAGTATTGGGCAAGCTTTTCAATACACACCATAAAGAAACAGGGACATTGCTCTCAGCTTTGTGACTCGCTCAAAGCCTGATTTTGAGAGCAATAAGGGTAGCATCACTATTATCTTCTCTATCTTGTCTACTAAAATCCAGTTCTCCTAAAGACCTACGAAACCTCCTTTACCTTGAAAAGAAAAGATTTGTTTGAAGCAAGAACTGAAGGCAGAACTGAAAATTCTGAGGACAAAGTTTTTCAACTGCTATAAAATGTTTTAAAAATATAGAATAAAAAAAGATGCATATTTGTTTTCATTGTCATGCTACACATACTTTTCACTGGATTATATCTCACATTTTTGTGTAGATTGATGCTCCTTTTGAGTTGGAGACTGTCTTCATATCGTTTCACAAAAAGCTTGCAGTCAGAAACAATAACAGTAGAACAATAGATTATTACTGCATTTAATTTCTTCGAAATCTATTATGCATAAAAATTATATGCAATATACTAATCAGCTGTGAAGGGTTCAACTTCGTGCCATAACATGAAGAGTAACAATATTTGATAAAGATGTATGGTGATTTGATTTGTTGGAATGAGACTCCTGTACTCAAAATAGGAAACAAAAACACTATTGCACTAAATGAGGAAGTGAGATGGTGTGGGATTTACAGTCAAAATCAAATGATCTCATTCTTAATTTTTTTGTCCTGTAACTAAGAACAAACTCCAATATTATGTGAGATTCTGCAATACTGTAGTACAGAAATACCTATCTATGTTTAAGGCAGAGTGAATGGTTACAACATTAATATGCCCAAAGCATACAAACATGTCACAGGTGCAGCTGGATATATGCCTCTTACATAGATTCAGAAGTATTGGCTAATAACATGCAATTTTCAAGGTATTTTTTCCTATTATTCTTTTCTCTTCTATTTTGCATAGTGTAGGACAATACTGGAAAATAACTTCCCCACTCCAGACCATGCAGCTATGATGTGTTAAGCACCATGTGACGTAGTTGTCTATATAGACCTTTCATTTATCAAACATTGCATAAATGCATCACATTTCCTTTGAAGACCTTCTTCAAATTATTTCTTAAAGCCCTCTTGGATGTAATTTATAAACCTATTACGTGATTTACCTTCTAAAAGTAACCGTATTCTACTTACTGTTCCACCTATTTCTTTGTTTTCTAATAAATGTCAATTCAACTGTTGATCTTCTTTCTCTCCTAATTTATATTTCTGTCTTGCTGACTAGTTTCTTTTCTAAGCAGAACTTCAAATAGAAACAATCAGAAAAACCCATCTCTTCCCAGTTCTTAGAATGCAAACAAAGACCTCCTCTTGTTCAGACACTCTTT